CAATTTTCAACTGTTTTGATACACTAAAATACTAAATAATAGGATGGTTGTTAGGAGTATGATTGTATCCCACCCATTAAAATGATTAAATCACTCTGGGTATACCTTCCTGGTAGCTGGTTCATCATTAATTCCTTTCGTTGAATCAGTTTTCAATCCTAAACCTAGAACTGAAATGTTCCTTATAAGTGATATTGAGGGTGAGACCTTTGTTGTAAAAATATTTTGAAAATATAAGAAAAGAAGTCAGTTTATTAATTCCATTGTATGTGTTTATTAAAATTAATGATAAMCACTTTCAGGTTATGATTTTTCTATATAGCATTGTAACAATTCCTTCTGTCTAACACCCTCAAGATGCATAATAGCTAGGTCAAAGCTATAGTAGAATATTCCAGCACCCAACTTGTGATAAAAGATGATACAAAAAGGGCTGACATAGTTCACATTGAAAACTTGTTTAAAGTTTTATTATGGAAATTGGTAAACCCAAACCTAGTTTTTGAATCAACGAGATTGCCAGAATCAGGAAAAAATGTCACTATTAATATTTTCTGACATTTCAGATCTAGTATGTCACTCAAAAATAATTCAATAAAACAAACTTTAGATTTAAAGAAAACATATCAGAACAAAAAAGTCAGTTTTGAAATTTTGTAGAAAAACGTGAAGCCTATTCAGTGTAAATTTAAAGACAATCTTCCAATATCTTTTTGTTAAATTTGTTGAGTTTTTGGTAAATACCCTTTAACTAAAGACTTGAACTTGGGTAGGTCGAAGATCAGAGATACATAAAAATGATTTCCACGAAAGAAAAAAGAAACCGAATATGGCCCTCATTATCCATTACCAATTGAGTGTTTAGGCAGTGATAATGGCTATGGCCACTGTAAAATTGTCGCTGAGGCTCCGCCAGAGGGCAATAAATCTCATGCGGGGTTGCATCTATAGCACCGACGGCATTTGGTAACTCTGGCCAGCTGCCCATTAGATTTCTCCACTCCGCGAGGTTCGGCCAGATGATTTGATTTTGAAAATATCTCCACATTACTGGTAACGTCCTGTAAATAATGCGGATAACGGACGTAGGGTCTATATCWAACCACAGTGCTAAAGTGTCTATATGAGAATGTTTACGTAACCACAACATCACAAGCAGAACTTGGTTAACTACGTTTATTTTCAGTCTCCTCTGGCGTACACGGGGTTGCCCGTCTAACGTTAAGTTYTGCAAGGYTGGGAGGATATCGTTCGCARGTCTGAGAAACGACATAGGAGTTTCACCAGTGTTCCGCCAGAAGAGGTGCGCTCAGCCTTGATATAAGAGAAAACACATCTCTACCACGAAATACTTCCCCGTGAAAATTTTCAAAAAGACGATGTTGTAAGGGAAAAGATTTTTGTTGAGGTGGTGGCCTAATAAAGGCGACAAACAGCAATATCCAGGCGACTATATTTAAAAGAAATATACTCGGACTTGCTGCGCATCCATGCTGCATGAACTGCTGAGCGAAGATGCGCATTCCAACATAAAAYACGGCATTTTTCATGCCATTCGTACGTGAATCATCATGCGTGCGCTAAAAAATTGCATATTGCGCTTTCTGTGTACGGAGCAAGAGGATTCATACTTACACTCAGCTGACTACTTTCGAATTCTAATAAATGAATTCTTCAGCAAACGTGCCAGGTCAGTCTAAACATATAACTTTTGTGTTGGTACTTTCGATATCAACCCTCAACCATACTTAGTTTGTTGTTTATTACGAATATTAGGTCCCTCCAAGAAAAGTCGGGTCGGAATTGGAGAGAAAGAAAAAAGTGTTGTTCTCGAATGTTACAACACTCTTAACAGCAAAGGATGGAACGAGGTTGTCTTGACAGCACGACAGAAGATTGGAGAGATAGCAGCAAGCATGCCACAACACGTAGTTAACCTGTATTTAACCCAAACAGACGAGTCCCTGACCAGACGCATGCAAAACATAGTAAAAAGTGCTATGCAGCAGCCCTATGTCCCCGAGTCAGGAGAGATTGGAACGGAGAAACAACTTCYAGTTTCAAATCAAACGAGATATTCAAGAAAAATGCAACCAGATGAGAGAAGGGCTGAAGCCCTCAAGGTAAAGCTGGATCAGAATTTTGCTGATTCATCTCCTAGCGAAGACGAGAATATCGAACCTTCTGCTAAGAAGAAGAGGAAGGTAGACACAGCGAAAGAGGCTAACYTCGSACATGCAAAGATGTGCGAAAAAGCTATGAGCACGATGGAGAATGTTAATCAGCTTTTGCTGAAAGTAGACAAATACATCAGTGATCAGAACGGAAYAAAACCCTAAACAGAGAGACTTTTCAAGTAAAAACTGTAGAAATTCGTCGAAGAAATGTAGAATGATTTATTTGAATGAATTGAAACTTTCATGTTTTGTTAATAAAATAATGRATATAAAATGCTCTAATTTCCCTATAACGTCAAACAGTTGTGCAGTGTTTCTAATTCGTGTCTTTTTTAATTATTGTTTATGTATTTGAATATTAGCAGACTTCATTAGCATGCTAAAGTGTGATATACGAATTCGCTCTAATGAACTCGTCTACGCTTCAATGTTATATTGACTCAAAAATGACTGCATTTGGCGTACCAAACAAAAGCTTCTAGCTTCTAATTAAGGGTTTAGGGGTTTTACTTACAACGTTAAATAGTTAGTACACTAATAGAGGTTAGATCTCAATTTCACTTTTCTTTTGTGTGTATTTGACTATTATACATGTACACTAACTTCAAGAAACCTGTTCACGCTAGGAGGAAAATCAGCGCTTTAGTGACCTTTATTCATCTAGAGACAAAATAATGAAGGCTCTCAGTCAGTACGCTAACATTTCCCCTAAAACTCTTTTTCATGTTGCTAGACAGGTTTAATAAAACGAGCTGCACTTTATAACGACATCAGGTTTTTGGTTTTTCTACTAAAAGAGCTTTCACGGAACTATAGTTTCTAAGCTTGAATAGTTAAACTTACCATATTGAACAGAAGAGGTTTTCATCCACAGGTTTGACAAACTGTTTCGACTTGTATTCCATTTATTCCCTCAGTTTGAACCAATAAAAACTGAGAAAGAAATCACTGTTTATTTGAGGCGAAGTTGTATGCACCAGGGTTAGTTGCCTAATGTAGGCGGAAGTGCTCGAAGTCACGCAAAGTGCCGGAAATATATGTTGGGGTACGTCTGACATGGTCTGAGCGACTTGAAAACGGCGCATCACATAAGAGTCGATTATTTTCCAAAGTTTATTTACTTTTCAATGTTTAACATTACTGACTTACGTAGATCAAATCGAAGTACACGAGATCGATGGATAGATCCGTGTTAGCGACTTGAAAACTGCGAATCATATGAGTCGATTATTTTACAAAGATTATTTACTTTTCAATGTTTAACATTACTGACTTACGTAGATCAAAATGGAAGTACACGAGATCGATGGATAGATCCGTCTGAGCGACTTGAAAACGGCGCATCATATAAGAGTCGATTATTTTCCAATGATTACACTTACACAGATGAGATCGAAGCACACGAAATCGATGGTTTTCATCGTGTTATTGYCGCTCTGGATCTTGATAAATTAGTACGGAATTCCACCAAAGTTATTCAAAATATTGATATGGAATCCACCTCGTTCCCAGGGCCCTCTCACGCAGGGCCCTGGGAACGAGGTTGGCATGGAATAAGTAGAAATTTCGACCAGAAAGACGACGAAATGCACCATCAGTACAATCGGTACCAACGGTACCAACGGTAACCATAACAGTGGGCTGTCTGCTGTGATTGCATCTGATAAATATTCATGTTTACCAAAGGGTGACCAATTCTATAATTATGAACACCCACGCTTTACCAAAGGGTGACCAATTCTACAAATCAAAGGGGTGCGTTTGAATTTAAAAAGTTTAATAATTTATTCGTGGATTTTGCATATTATAAATTACTTTCACTATCTGTACCGTCGGTAAAATACTTTTACCGTCGGCATCAGATCGTCTATTCTGGACATGTATGTCCAGTCTCGACTCTCGGGAAAATAAAACTGTTTCCCTCGCGACCAGACATTAAGTGTATACTAATACTAGTTTTATTTTATACTATGACGCCCTTGTGATTTAAAAACTGAAATACAGTGTTAAAAATTGGTAAATTGCTTTTTGGTCGTAAAAGGCCGGTTCAGGTTACGTTGAAAGTTACAAGTTTCCCCACAGCAAGCCCAAACAAGGTGATTGTACTTTTTAGAAAGAAACGTATATGGAACTGTAATATCGTAAGAATATCTAAAGTAATTTTTGCATTTAGCTTACCAGTTTTCCAGTGTTCCGACCGTTCTCTGTACGCAATTAGGAGCAAATCCAACGATTTTTAGCTTTTTACGGGCCTATTTATACGAATATTTAGTTATTTAGTTATTCTACATATATTCCTTTGTAATGAGGTAAATGTACTTGTACTGGGCTTCCTGTAATTTTCCTCTAACACAATGACTTTAAGGTGGCTCGACTGGGTTTTATTTCTGGTATACATTGGRGGTTTGAAAAGCGGAATTCGAAATGTGTCGCTGCTAATAAACCAATTTCAAATAAAGTGTTACTACATAACTAGAGATAGATTCAAGTTTTACATGATATACAATTTATCACGATCGGAGTTACCATAGCAACAGTGACGTCATGTCATTTTTTATGCATTCCATTTTCGGCGAAATTAGACGTTTGTTTAAAAAATGCTGTAAAAGTAATTCAAGTTCATATGATCGTTTTCAAGTTAACGAAGTTTCGACGATTTCTATCGGAAGAGTTTTGAAGTAATTCCCATTGGAACTTTTTTGCAGCAATACGTAAAGAATCGAATACAATTAGTTCAGGTGACACAAACCTTTCCTTTTCTGGACTTGGGAAAAGCTTCTTATTTTTGGTCTTGAATGTTGTGTTACTATACCACTAGTCTTTCTGTGAAATGGAAAGAAATCGCTTTTATGGATTTCAATAAATATGATTTCAAGCCTAGTTAGTAAAGCTGTGCCTTTTGGTCTCTTGTGAAAGATTATACTTGTCTTTWCAAAAAACGGTAAAACTCACTAATCCGATAATGAATYTTTTTTAACTTCGAAATAAATCACTTTATATAAAGCAGTAAGTTCATATCCTAAAGTTTTGAAGTTGATTGAAATACCTGAAGAGCCTCGAACATAATAATCTCGAGTCCGTAAACATTTGCATCCCAATTCTAAATATGACAGCCGCTTCATTCTTTTGCACTTCATGTTTCTTTCGTTACGCATCTGTTTTGTCCAGAATAATTCCAAAGTCGTGCATTCCAATATCTCATGCATTACAATGTTTAAAGGCATCCAAATCGCACTGGACGGGATTTCAAAGTCCGGGCAATTAGTTCCACTTCGAGGCGTAAACGACTTCTCAAACTCATTAATTATTCGGGAGGAATCTTGAGATAAAAGCAAAGAAACTTATAGTCGGGGAAGGTTTTGAATGTGGCAGGGCAGATTTGGGTGTGAAGTTAAAATCATAAGCTTCCTCAATTAAGAAATATCTTCTTTTTTTTTTTTGTTGACAGGATTAAAGTGCTACTCTGACGAAAATCGTTCAAGCTTGGATTCAGCTGAATCTTCCAAAGAATGCTCTTTAAAGGTCCAATAATCACTGTATGAAGTGGTTTCTCGATATTCAGGACGAAAGTATGATATTTTTACGATTATTTTTTGGAGTCTGTGACGTCATAAACTCAACATCGAACATCGCTCCATACATTTCTTTGTAGTTTATGATCATACTAGACGCATATCTGCGTGAACTCGGGCTTCATAGCAGAAAATCGAAAGAATTCTTCGTGAACATTGTCATCCTTTTAGATGGTGCAAAGTCTGTTAGACTTTCGAAAAGGTATTTGTCCTTGTAAATCACGCGCGCTAAAAATGTTGGGGGAAGGCAATCAGGATTTTTACCATGACTTGTAAATCTCTCGTTCGCTAATTGGTTGAGAGCTATGTTCAAATAATTAACTCCTTGTTATTGTAAATCAAAGAGCACAAACTCATTGCAACACATTGTTGTCCCGAATTTTGTCCAAATACCAGTTCATTACCTTGGCTATATGGTGCTGTTATTGTTTTGCTAGGGTCAATGTACATTGTTGGGTTCTTCTCTATGTCTGTATTTAGTTTAAATTTACAATATGGGTCTTAGTCTTGTGGAGACACATCAAACTATTACAAGTAAACAATGATAAATACCGACTAGCTCTATATATTTCAACTTCATTAATATCCCTTTATAAACTCTAGTAAAGCAATTAAACAAAAGCTTCTTTTCATGTTGTGTGACTTTATTCAAGCTTATTCTCTTAGTATTCAGCTTACATTCATTTTTGTAAGTTTTCTAACCGTCACATAACAATGAAGCTTGGAGGACTTCGGTATACTTGGACGAATACGTTTGAAGATAAACTCTTTCAGCTTTCTGCTTTTGTTTCTCAGACTTTTCAGAGTTCGTACTGGTGTTCTGCTGGGTTCACGATCACGTCTATATGCACAATGATACTTATTTGACTCAAGCCGAGATAGTTCATTTGATATAGTAGTTAGCATGGTTCACGATAAATGGTTCAATCGTAATGGTTCTCTCATGAAATTCCCGGACCGACCCGTTCCGAAAACGCTCTACAGTTTTAGTATGGGTCTACCACGAAAAGTGTTTGCTTTTGTATGTGTCTTGAGCGTGTTAGATTCCACATTATTCATTACTTGAAACAGCGACGAGTCCTTCACCATATCCGCCATTACTCAAGCATGTGCTAATAGCTGACTCTACTCATGCGCATAGACTTTAACTTGACGCATGCGCCTTAGGGCTTCGAAGGCGATTTGTGACTGAAGAAAAAAAATAACGAAGCCCAATTTATACCTCGGGCATTTCTTCGAAAGCTTTTTAATTATAAATCAAGCCAAGCTTTCGAGCATCTTGCTCTTCATCAGGGCAAACGGTTGTGACAGTTTTACAAGAAACACGCAACATAACAATGTGCGCGTGCTATAGTTAAATGTATC